TTTTCTTTTTTTTTTTTCAATCTTCCGTAAATATCAGCCAAAAAAATGAATATTGTAATATATTGGCTTGAATCGAAAGCATGGGCGGTTCTAGACAGGGGCCAACGGGGGCCAGTGCCCCAGTTGATCATGTTCTGGCCCCTGTACTGAAGATATAATACATAAAGAAATTCTAATGATGATGTGCGCTGGAACAGACATGGTTACTGATGGGTCCTTTGGATCTATTTGCAAGACTTTCCATATATGCCCTTTATTTTATATTTTTATTACTGTTTCTCCTCTTAATACTTTTTAGATTTACAACCTCTAATAGCCCAGCAGCTATCAAAGCCTCATCTATTACGCCTCAGCAGTAAAACGGATCATTCTGTATGAAAAAGAAGCCAAACTCTGATTTCTAAAACTGATCAGAAGAGCAGTTTCTGCAGCGCGTTTAAAGGTCTTTAAAGGTTTAATGGTGAATTAATCCCCCTGATTCTTCCTCCTGCAGCTGCAGCATCTGGCTCCAGAAAGCTTCACCAGCTACAGTCACCTCAGCAACAGCATCAGCAGCCATCTGGACTCCTCACCTGAGAGCAGCGAGGCGGGGGCTGATTTGACCCTGGCTCGTAATGGTAAGCTCCTCCCCCCCATGGATAATGATGATGATGCCTTCTGAGGGTTTTTCTTCTTTTTTTATTTTGCATTAAACTGCTTCTGGTTATGAACATACGGATGCTTCCAATCAAACAGAAAGAAAACTGACCCCACACTGGAAAAATGATCTAGAAATTAGTAAAAATGTCTTAAATTAAGTATTTTACCCTTAATTTAAGTAGGTAAATGAGATAGTTTGCCTTTGGGATGAGTAATTTTACTCTTAAATATAGATAATTAGATAATATGCACTTGAAATAAGACAAACCAATTGGGATTTCTTATTTTAAATGTAAATTTTCTTGTTCTATTGGCAAAACGCCTCACTTTTACATCCTTAATCCAAGAACAAATGCACTTATTTTAAGAAAACATGAATTATCTAGATTTAGATTTTTTTCCAGTGCAGCTGATAGAAAGTTCTTCATATTAGATGTTATTTCAGTCACATTAAAATACATTACAATATCTGCACTTAACAAACAACAATAAAGAAATATACACTTAAAATAAGAGTGGATTAAATCTAAAAGTG